CCTCACGGCCCTCACGGCCCTCACGGCCCTCACGCACTCATAGCCCTCACGGCCCTCACCGCCCTCACCTCCCTCACGGCCCTCACCGCCCTCACGGCCCTCACGCCACTCACCGCCGTCACGCCACTCACCGCCCTCACGCCACTCACCGCCCTCACGCCACTCACCGCCCTCACGCCACTCACGCACTCATGGCCCTCACGCCACTCAGGCCAGCTTCAGATGGGGCAATTTCGGCCAGAAACTCTACGTCGCAACATCAGCTAAACGCGCCGCCCGCGATCACACGCAGCAACCAATTGCTGCAATTTGCAGTCGTCATCATAAAATTTTATTTTTCGTGCACTATTTAGACACAATTACGCGTTATAAACGTGTTTTTATGCATTTAAATCCCGTTAAGAATACTAATGTACCTTTCTGAAACAGTTTATTTCCAAAAAACGATCGATTTCAAACGAGAACAAAGTCTTTCGGTGTCATCATCACCGGCACGAGGTATCACGTGAAAATTTTGCGTCCCTGATTAGATGCAGCCGCTTCAAACGTATTCGAATTGCTCCGAGTTGCTTGCTTATTTCGAGCCGGACCCGATCTTAGCAATTCGTGTCGATCTAGGGAAAGCTAGAGAACAACCCGCCATTAGCACTTAAATTGCTGAGAAAGATGCTCGATCTGAAGGGGGCCTCACGCACTCACCGCCCTCACGGCCCTCACACCACCTCATGCACTCACCGCCCTCACGGCCCTCACGCCTCTCATGCCACTCACTGCCCTCACGCCACTCATGGCCCTCACACCCCTCACGCACTCACCGCCCTCACACCACTCACGCACTCATGGCCCTCACGCCACTCACCGCCCTCACGCCCCTCACGCACTCATGGCCCTCACACCCCTTACCGCCCTCACCGCCCTCATGGCCCTCATGGCCCTCACGGCCCTCACGGCCTTCACCGCCCTCACGGCCCTCACGGCCCTCACCGCCCTCACAGCTCTCACGGCCCTCACGGCCCTCACCGCCCTCACAGCCCTCACCGCCCTCACAGCCCTCACCGCCCTCACTCACCCTCACACTCATGAATTTTCCTGGTTCAGAAACTCACTCACCCTCACCTCACCTGTGAAGATGAGGGTGAGTGAGGGTGAGTGAGAGCCCTCATGAGTGAGGTTTGCCGAGGTATGGATACTTTAGACCCATGTTCCGGATAAAAAAAACAGGACGCGGGATGGCCGAAAAAACATGCTTTTCGTGCAAGGCTCGTCAAATTATGAGGCGCTGGAGAAATGCAGCCTTCTGCGTTAAGTCCTTATTTCGAACTCTTTTTGTTCGCCTTCCGCCCATTGAAAAGCATGCGGGAAGGGCCTTAGAACGCACCTGGTATCGCTGCGCCGCAGCGTTCTTCCGCATCGAAAAGTTCGTCTGCTTTCCTCGCCGTCACCATGGCAACGAACGCCGAATGAATAGAAGCACGAACGGTACCGCCGCGTGAAGCCAGCAACAGCTGACGCCATTTTACGAACGCCGTCTGCTAGCCAAAGCCGAACGCGGTGTGTCAGATCGCCTCCGCCGGTGCGCCGTTGGCAAAGACGACGAAGCTGAGACACGCCGACGGCGATCGAGCAAGCAACAACACCGCGGGACGACTGCAACGGCGGCATTTATTCGGATCAAAGGCCGGCTTCGCCGGTGCGCCGCTAGCAAAGACGACGAAGCTGAGGCACGCCGACGGCGAATGGGCGAGCAACAACACCGCGGGACGACTGCAACGGCGGCATTTATTTTGATCACAGGCGCGAAATAAGCAAGAACAATTTTTATTTGAATCATAACACCCGATATCCAAGTTGGGGACCACATACCTTTGCTGGGTCTTTCCTGTGAACTTTTTACAGAGACACGGGGTGCCGCATTAAAAACCCAAGTAGCACAAAATGTGGCTGCAACGTTACTGGAATGTTGTCAGGTAACGTTGCCGAACGCTGCTAACGACCGCGGATTCTACACTCCAGTAACGTTACACCACAATGTTACAGTAACGTAACTGCATACGTTACCTGGACATTACCCAAATAATGTTACTGGAACGTTGTTAGATAACGTTGCCAAACGTTGCTAATGGCCACCAGTTCTACCTTCCAGTAACGTCACATCAAAATGTTGCAGTAACATAGCTGTCTATGTTACCTGGATGCTAGATCAGTGATGTTACTCGGACGTCGTCGCTAACGTTGCTAGTTGTTGTTAATGGCCACGAATTCTACCATCCAGTAATGTTACACCAAAATGTTGCACTGACATTACGGCTTACTTAAAAGTGAAGGAATAAAAATGTGAAGAACATACACAAACGACCACTCTTTCATTTCGCAACAACGTTTATTTTTTGAGGAGCAAAGAGTCGCATACAGGTCGAGATCAACTAGATACCGAAGGTGGAGTGTTACTGACTCATCCCTTATCTCCCTAAAGTTCCTTTGATCAAGCCTTCCTTTTGCAGTTAATCTTGACCTGTGCGCGAGTCTTTGCTTCCAAAAAACGAGCGTCGTAACTAAATGAAAGAGCGGTCATCTGTTTTTCCTCAGTGCTTTTATTCTGTTAACTTTCAGTAAACATTTTTACAATATGCTGGCACTGGCCAGATATTACTGTATGTGTTACTTGGACATTACTGAACACTGTTATCCGAAAATACATTGACAAGCGCTGCCAGGAAACTGCATTTATGGTTGTCATGAAGTCATTTTTTGAGCTGGTGCCTGATATGAGTAAATGGATGTGCATTACAAGCCATTAATGAATCAGCATTTTGAAATCCTAGAAGCAGGACTCCGGAAGAAAACAAGAAGTTATTGGAATAAATTTATTTCAAAAACGAAACCAACATTACAAGTACCAGAGAATTCTTCTGTTTCTTACAAGCTATTAGATCTACAAAATTGTAAAGAACACACTAAATTACAAGGCTGATCTGCATAAAAATAAAAATGTAAAATATTAAAACTCCCAGCAACATAAAGCAAGTAGCCTAAAATAAAATTCTAATTATATCTCAAATTACACCCAATCTTGGGCTAGGACATATAAATAAATAATGGAGGCAATAAACCAAAAATGACTAGAAAAAGAACATAAATTTTAAATCTTCTAAAAATACCACACTAATGTGTACATAAATTAAATAAAAGAAACCACTAGCTGGGGCTAAAATGTATGCATGAATAGAAATTAAAGGTAACATATGCATATTACAAATTGACATAAAAAATTCAAACAACAGGGACTCTACTCATGGGATGGCTGTAAAAAAAGGAGAAAGAAATCATTAGAAAAAAAAAGCATTTTAAATGATTTAGGTAGCATGAATTTTTTTTTGAATTCTATGCATTTAGCACGGTTAACCAATTCCATGCTTCCAACTGGGATCAAAGTAACCAACTACTAACATTTAAAACTAACAGAAAAATAAAGGCAGAAACATGCTGAAAAACAGCGCAAAATGCACGGATAAGAAAACACACAGGACAAGGCACTGTGTGTTCTTTTTCCTTTGTCTGGTTTTCGCACCGTTTTTCAACATGAATTCTTACCAACTAGCCCAGCCCAACTGTCCATCCTTGTAATCAGAAACATGCTTGCCTTCTCCCCTTGTGGCAGCCCCTCAGTCACTCCTGAGAAGAGGCACACTGCTCCTGTAAAAAAATAACAGAAAAAAGTTGGTTGCATTCAGAAAATGGGTGCCTACTTCAGGGCAGAGAGTGTCATCAAGATAAAAAAAGAAATGCCTACATCTGTCCTAGCAGTTTCACCACAGTTTCTTTGCATGCACAAGCCATTCTTTTCACCCAGTTTAGACTTTTACCGCAAAGTGTGACCTACCCACAGAAGACAGTGGATACGCGACTTATTCTTTTCTGGCAAGGTAGGCGGCTGTTCTCGGCCACTCACTTTTTCCCACTTCAACCTTCTATTTATTCATGCGTGAAAGGCACTTTCTTAAGAGGGAAACAGCTATTTTCTGCAGCGCCTTTTTTATTTTGTATTTGTAGATTTAACTTTGTTTTCATTTTATCCTAAGAGAAAGCTTTCTTTTTAAGAACATAGATGTTCTTAAAAAAGACGTGCCTGCCCTCTTCGTCAATTTTTTGTAACCGACAGAACCGTGGACCTGTCAGATCTTTGACATGCAGTATACTACTGTATGTCGAATATCCGGCAGGTCCACGGTTCTGTCGGTTATAATAAATTAACAAAGAGAGGAGACACGTCTTTTCTTTTCCCCGTATCATGGGCCACGGAGACAGATCACTGCCTCAAGGACGGCTTCGTCTTGAAGCAGAATACGTCTCTTCAAGGACGAAGATATATATACGCTTTTGAATGGACGTACATTCATCACTGCACCTGATGATCACAGCTTTTAAAAGTGTCGTTAGTGTTACCGTGTCTTATTGGCCTCATTAACAGAAGTCATCATTTACTAAAAAAAAAGAATAGAAGGTGACAAAAAAAGGTTCCTTCCTTTTATATATATATAAGTTTATAAGTTACAATAAATATTAAAACACTGCTATCCTCCCGGCACTAAAAAGAAAAAAATATTTCTACTGCTCAAATAGGCTACGTTCAATGAAACAACTTCGATGAAATGGCGTTCAATGAAACAGCGTTCGATAAAACTGCGTTCAATGAAACAGCTTCGATGAAACAATGTTCAATGAAACGGCGTTTGATGAACTGTCCGGACCCAGGGGCAATGTCAATGAGCCTCATATTTTCTACAATGTCAAGCTCATTGCAGACAATGTCATAACATGGTGTTCTTTCATTGGCTAAATAAATTTCTTAATACTTAAAAATGTCTTTATGTAAATAGACTAATGCCTTTGTTTGAAATCTGGGCTTGTTTTAGGATGCAAAAGTATTTTTCGGGAGCTTAAGCAAAATTAGAAACATCATATTACCATTTTCTTGGTCCTAGCTGGTGCATGCCTGACTGATTCAGCAGCAGCCCATTTGGCGTCGGCTTCCTGCACGATGATGGCTGGCTCATTGTTTTCTGCCTTCTGTTTAAAGCAGGTGCGCGCAGCTCCTGTTTCAAAAGTATATAATTACAACACAACGTCAGCTACCACAGTGAAATATCGACAATTTCATGCCCTACTTCAGCATAACTTGGCAGACATCGGTAACTATGAAATCAGCCAGGGTGTCTAGCAAATTCCTCCTTTTAAGTTCCCCAGCTTTTCTAGGTTTTAAATTTCCTGTCCATTACAGAAGTTTGGAGATGTGGTACGAAGTGCTACTAAACACCTCATAAGTGAACACCACTCACAATTTAAAACAATTTATTGAAATCGGTCTTTATGTTGCTCAAGAAGTCAAAGACTTACAAAGTTTCGGGCAATGTTATTTAGCACAGCCACGTCAATGCACGACTCTCCTGGCTTCGTCGCACACCACCGCATTACTCGCCCTGGCTATTTTCCCTGATTTGGCTAACTTTTTGATTATCTCCCTGACAATTCCCTGACTTTTCCAGATGATCCGAAATTTCCTGACAATTCCAGCTTTTCCAAGGTGCTAGACACCCTGTCAATGAGCCAGATAGCTCGGGAGCGAGGCATGGGACAAAACTCCACTCTAGTGAGCTCATGTGAGCTGCTGTCACATGCTTCACCAGGACACAGTTTCCTTTCATCTAAAAGAGCCAAATCCAGAAAACTGAAACCAAGCAAATTTTTGTATGAATTCAAACTATATTCGTTGGTCCATCAATCTCAAATGCTCCTACAGTGAAATCGGTCAGAGTACGCTATAAAAACCACAGCAGAGGTGGCTGCGGCACATGGCTCAAAGCTATACTGATAAGCAAACATACCAATTTATCTGTTTTGCTTCATGTGTATTTCGCCTTTTTAGAAAAAAAAGCTCCTCACTTGTGTGCCCTGTTTAGCTATAGCCATTTGTTCTTAAAAGGCAACTCTGCTTAATTCCAAAACTTTTGGAATTATAAGACTTCAAATAAAAATAAAAAATAAATTTAAAAAGAAATATAAAAATAACTATTTTATTTCATGCATTGGTGGAATATTTCCTATGCAATTTTGCTTTAAACATAGCCCAAATAAAACCCGAAACATCGGCTTCTACAGGCAACGATGGCAGAGACGGAGGAGACATGACCAATCCCATGGTACAAATGATGATGTGCTACCCCTGCGAGGACGACGCAAACAGACGGGCCTGAGTGTTGTCTGCTCCGTGTCGGACGACATCTGCACCACTGCAACCTACGCTAAAGCCAAGTTTTCTCAAAGGAATAAATATCTCAGGAACATTAGTATGCAGCGAGGTCTACTAAATAGTACATAAATAAGCCATTGAGTATGTGAACATTGTGCAAACAATGCCATTAATATTTAACAGAGGTGAACCATGAGAAACGTGCACATCCAGGTCTGTGCCAATCATGTGGACACCGCTGAAGCAACTTTTGAAGAAGACATTGCACAAGTCAAGGACTGACTGTGCATGGAAAAAACAAAGAAAACGTAACAATGCACCTGACATGGTAAATTGATGTTTGGTGCACTGAAGCCGTAGTAGCAACTGCGCTGTCGTTTGCACCTACATTGTCAGCTAGGGTTGACAGTTTGCTGATCCATTTCATAAAGATTTAAATGGAGATAATATTGGACATGTGGTTTTCCTAGATGATACTGAAGAAGCCTTTGTTTTCTCTCACTAACAAAAATGAGACAGAGTCTGCAAAATGGCGGGCCCTTGTGCGCTGCCATCTTCCAGCTCAGGTGCACCCCAGATAATCCGATTATGAAGGCTTGCTAAAGCGTCACTAAGCTAATTGACAGATTGGTACCCTGAGAGCACGTTTTCCTACCCATGGTGGCTAGACTACTTTTGGAAACATGACTGCTTGCAAACGTTTATAGCTGATTGTGTCATTCAGCTATATGGTAATGCACCTTACACCAAAGAGTGCTCGGTGGTGTAAAACAAAATGTACCACCTTTCTTTAAGAAGTGGTCAATCCTAACGCTGCCCAAACCATTCCACATATAAAGCAGAGGACAGGTTCATAAAAAGTGCTAGGGTTAGAGTGCACAAACAGCAAGCATTCTAATGTATCCTTTGACCAGAAAGCATAGATAAATAAACGAAATAAATTAAATTGTAAAATAAAAATGACTAGTACAGCAGAATTATGCAAACATGAGGTTGCAGCAATACAAAGCAAACATATGCACCATCAAATTAAAAATATCCACTTCACCATCCCTTAGGCTATAACTGTCCTTGTGCGAGGAAGCATACCACAACTAGCAGCTTTGTAAATTAAAAATGACTAGATAAAAAAAATGAAAGCCGTTTACAACTCCCTGTAACGCTAAATTAGGGTGCAGCCCTAGAAGAGGAGGGAAGGGTCCCGAGGAAAGGGTATACCCCTCCCCCCTGCCACACCTCCCTCTGAGCGGCGTCGCCGTAACCGTGAGGTCACGTGACCCTCCTGACGGGGGTCACGTGACCCCGCGAGGACAATTTGGCATGGTGCCGAAACGTCGCCGCGGTTACGGCGACGGCGACACCACTCAAGCCGGAAACGGGCGCCTAAGAGCTGCGCTCTAAAAGAAACACCAAAACAGCAGGTGCTCAATAAACAATATGGATACCATTCATTATCACAATTGCGGCTAACCAAGCTGAGGCTAATCACATAAAATAAAAAATCTAAATGCTGGAAAGCGTTAAGAAATTGCAGCAACAAAAAACAAACATACACGTGTGCGTTTTTGCTTGGGCTCTGGTTCTGGAAGTCGAGGGGCTGGCTGAGTGTTACGTCGTTCCTGCAGAAGAGGCAAGCTTGATGGAAAAGGAGGGCAAATGAATCCCGAATACAAAGGTGTTGCAGAAATTTAGGTGCATACATCTTGGTCATAGAAGTCCTCATCCTCAAATGAAGAAAGAGTATGCTGCAGTCTCTTCCTTTTTCTCTTCTCCCGCTCTTCATTATTCAATGTTAGGTCGGACGTCGCTTCCGAATTTTTTTTCTTTGTACTTTGCATCTTCATATGTCACTGAAACAAGAAAGCCGAGCACACCAGTCAAATGTTTAACCACCACAAGCTTGTTTGCACCCTAAACTTTTGTTAATTAAATCAAATATGCTCGCTTTATGGTTAGACAGCTTTTAGGTTAAAGCCTGCCAACTTTTTCGGGCTCATGTATATAATCTGTGAGGATTGGGCCAGCTCAGGTTTATATTAAAGGAAACAAAAATTTTGTCGGGCTCGTGCTGGGCTCAAGCTTCTGTCTAAAATTCTGTCGGGTCCGTGCCGGGCCCGAGCCGTGTCTCTTCAAGGTCAAGTCTGGCCGGGCCCGGAAATTAAATATTCTATTAGGCTCGGGCCAAACCCGGGCCGTGCCTCTACTGGGCCGGGTCTAGAAATTCTGGCTCGTGCAGTGCTCTAGCACACTCTCCATTGGGTGAGCAGAGTCCGCGCTCCGCTCTAAGCAGAATTTATAGCCTACTTCTCTGCCCCAAGGTTCTCAACTCTTTGCTCAGGGCACTCAATGGCATTTCTGGCTCATTTTCCATGACTGGGCTTGATTTTTGACAATATCCCTGATTTTTCCCGGTAATTAAAATTTCCCTGACAATTCCTGGTTTTCCCGGTTGCTAGACACCCTGCTATACTTACAACATGATGCCATCACCTGACAGGAGAATGTGGCCCAGTCAGTTGAGGGCTCTTCACGCTCTCTAATTGCCATCATCAACCGATTTGATTTGTAGGGTGGCCATGCCGTGCAGCCATTGCACACCCAACAGGTAGGGACAACTGCGACATCATTTTCCGCCAAAAAATGGACAAGAGAGTACATTTCCTGAAATCAACAAATAAAGCCGTTATTACCTTAAAACCAGTCATAAGTCACTAAAAATACAGTTTTCGAATTAAGCACAACCAATGTACAATAGTTGCAAACATAGATCACACTTGCAAGTGAAGTAGATAAAAAAACAGCATAGCCCTGGTTATCGAAAAAATAGTCAGCGTGCAGGCGAGCTGGTGTAAGTTGAACATGATTGTAAACCTGAGACTGGGGCAGAAAAGAGAACACAGCAGAAGGTAGAAAAAGGGGAGGCAACGTCTCAAACTCAGCTGCAAAGTTTATTTCGTACACGCCTTATATACCACAACTCCAACGCCGAATGGCGGTGGTTATGCTGGAATGTGACCCTTTGTGCGAGTGTTTCGCAGGAGAGGTCAAGGGAGATAAGAGAAGGTTTACCCAAATTTCATTGTCCTATTGTCATATATCTTTTTTTTTTTTGTAGAGACAGCGTTGGAGTTGTGGTATATAAGGCGTGTACGAAATAAACTTTGCAGCTGAGTATGAGACATTGCCTCCTCTTTTTCTACCTTCTGCTGTGTTCTCCTTTCTGCCCCAGTCTCAGGTTTACAATCATGTCCTTGGTTATATTGCAAGCAGACGCACTTCCACCTGATGTCCTGCACACTCCCCACTGAATACTGCATGGAGAGCCCTGTAGCTCTAAAAATTCCTAGCTCTGATGATGGCAGCTTTGAAGTATAAAGGTTGCCGAGATTTCGGAAAAACTGTCTGCAGATGCTACGGTTCCCATCTGACGCAGTGAAGTTCCTAACAACAGCAATGTTGCCATACTTCAGTTGAACACAGTTGTCGGACGCCTTCAAAGAGAAATGTGCTCCGTCTAAAACAAGCTCACTGCACTGGGTTTTCTTGAAGCTTGGCGGCTCAGGTTGTTGCTTGAGCAGAGCACACTTCTGTTGCACAGAACTTGACACGGTGGTGGGATTCACTTCTGAGTGCCTCTTGATAACCTGCTGCAGTGCCAAGGAAGGACCCCTCACCAACTTCTTGAGCTTCCCAAGGAAGTTCTCAAAGGGAGAGGCCGAGAAGGTGTTGACAGGGCCGAACCGTCGAACGTCTTGTCAGGTGGATCAGGGAGTGCATGTTGTAGACATAAACCCTCTCATACAAGGTACCAGCTCCAGAAACAAACTCTCTCAAGAGAGATTCTGCAAGATCACAGTGTGTCAAAGAAAATTTGGGGCTCGCTAGGATGGTCATAACACAGCCCAGCTTCATGAAGTGTCCATAAAAGCGCTTTTCCAAATGGTTTCTAAGGACCACTGGCCCGGGGGAACTGATAAGGGGATAAAGGAAAGGGGGTTTTGAAGGCCGGGGATTTTGAAGAGGGGGAGGTAACGCGGGGAATTCGCAGCGGGGATTTTGACACAGGTGTTCTGAGATTAGGTTATTTCGTGCACCACTCGTATCACTCGACTCATGGCGAATTCGCGTGGTTCTTTCCGCGCGCTCTCGAGCGCTCTTTCCAGAGCGCGCGAGATCGGGTGGTTGAAAGCGAGTGCTGTCGCCTGATCGGGTGGTTCATTCCGAGGGCGCCTCTCCCTCTCAGAGCGCTCTCTGGCACTCCGTCTCTAGCCGTCGGAGTGCGGAGCGGCGCAGGCGTCACGTGGTACTTGGACGGGGATCACGTGGTTTTGTTGACGATGGCCGGCAGTGGTCTGTGGTGGTGTGCGGGGTACGGCATGACGAGGATTGATATGTGGTTCTACAAAGTGCTTCTGAATTTGACGGTGCGAGGATTACGACGGACGGGACGACATTCCTTTGCGACCGTAACAGGAAAAGTCGACGTGTGAAGTATTCCCAGCGCTTTCACGAGATCGTTGATCTCACGGCGGTGAATCCGCTAAGCCTAACCGACGAAGAAACAGCTCGTAGAGCTCGCCGCTGTTTTACCGGGTTTTGTGGTCGCTTCAAGAAATTTTCAGGTTTGGTAAAAGTGCATTCAAAGGTTTGTGTTCTAAAATAAAGGAAGAGCCGAATATAATGCACTGTGATTTGTGTCACATGGCGATGCTTGCACGATATTTAGCCGTGAGAAAAATGCGGTTTATTAACCGTTTTATATTTGCCTATTCTGTCGAACGCGTGACCGCTATCGCAGCGCGTTCACTGACGAAAACGCGATGAGTTGACAACTCTTTCCAAGCGTTGGCTTTCATTTCCGTTCTGCGAAAATCAATTCCCATACTGCTGTTTTCTTCTTTTTTTTTACATGCCGATGCGTAAAACAATTTACGTCACAACAGTTATTTCATCACGTTGCGAGCGTAAATTTTGCTCAATCGTCCACCGTACGCTGTAAGATCGTGTTGTTTTTAATGCATTACCAATGTCAAGAAGTTTTACTTCCGTGACTGGTCTGAGAATCTCGGAGCGCTCTGAAGCCAGCAGTTGTGATCGGCTGAAAAGGATCCCGAGTAGCTCTGGCGGCGAGGAGGGGGCGCTCTGCTGAATCGAGGTCAGAGGAGAGAGGCGACCACGCGAATTCACCATCAGATTCACACTCGGAAGCTCGTTGGTATTCAAACTCTCCGGAAAAACTTGCATGTGCTGCCACGGCCTGTTGTCCAGGTGAAAGAGGGTATGCTTCCTCAGTGTCCACCGACTCCTCACTGCTCGTACCGCAACTTTCAAGTTCCTTGCGAACACTTTCGCCTACTCTACGTCTTTTTTGGCGATCAGATAGCTCTGATAGCGAACGCTTCGCCCGCTCCATTGTTCAGCACAAGTAGTAACAACAACGAAAATGAAACATACCTTTGTTTACGTTTCCTCCACGCCGAGAGATCGGTAGAGCGGTCCGATGAAACAGGCCTTGACGGTCCGTTCAAGTCCGTTGACATACGGTCACGTGGTCAACCTGGCTTCGACCTTGCTTGGCTTGAGCTACTTGCACTCTTGGCGTCTTGGCTTGTCAACAGTGTGCGTAAACGAGTAAACGACTAAACATGAAGTTTCAAGTAGGAATAAACTGTGGAAATTTATCTGACAGTACTAAAATAAGTTTTTTTAAGAGTTATAAAACATTACATTGATTGGAGAAATTGGTATAAGCCGTACAGCCATAATGCGTAATGCCGTACTAGTGTGCAATCATGGCGGACGATGGCGATCTTGCAACGTCTTGCAGTGATCAGTGGATGACCTCGACCGTAATATCGGTAACGATAGTGAACTGTTAACATCGAAACGGTAGTACCGTAGCTATGCGACTGTGCTGTGCCATTGTGATGTGTCCAGATAACAAATGTAGGCAAAGAGTGGTCCACGCAGAGCGAGCTTCAAAGCCTCAAGCTCAAATATGTTCTCGTGTCGACGGCTCTTTGGCGAGAAGTGAACGGGGGCTAACAATGTGTGTGCGATTGTACTCGTTTCATTATAATTAGGGTCCATATTAGATGAGCGAATGACGTTTTAGCAAACAGCGGCATTTGAGCGAATCGACGTTTTAGCGAATAACGGGGGCGCGCGTTAACCCATCCGCCGCGCGGCGAGTCTGCGGCGGCTCATTACAAAAATGTGAACCCACTTGGCCCACCCGAAAACGCCGCTTCGCAGCGTCCGAATTTTCGCTAAAGTGTCATTCGGTGAAATGTGGACATTCGCTAACACGTCACTCGATAAAGTGAGTGCCTCCACCCTTGGGGCCCTTCATTTTGAGGGGTCGGCGGAGTGCGTCCTTGTATCCGTGGCTCTTGATGCTAGATCTCCTTCCTACCTGCCCCTCCCCCCCCCCTCTCACTCACTTTTCTTTAATCTCACCCCATTCCCGTCCCATCTCTCCTATGTTGCCTTTTCTAACCTTTCACTCCTCATTTCCTCGCATGATTTAATGTTTGTGGCCCCTCCTTCCCCACCTTCATAGGATTATATGTTCGTTGCCTTTGACCTTTGTTCTCGACTTCGGACCCCTGACTGCTCCTCCTCGCCATCTCCCCTTCTATCTCCTTGGTCTCCTTATTCCTCCCTCCCCTCTTCCTCTACTCTCTTGTCCACCTTCCTCTTCCCCCTACCCATCCTACTCATCTTTCCTCCCCTCTTCCCCCTTCTCTCTCGTTTGAGTGATTCTATGTTCATGGCCTTTGACCTTTTCTTTTTGGTGGCAGCTGCATATGGCTCTTCATTTTGAGTGGTCGGGAAGGTGTGATCTTGTGTCCATGCAACCGAGGCCTATGACCTGCGATGTTTTACGTCTTACCTGGCCCCACCCCGTCCCATCTCCTCATTCCCCTCCACTCCTTCTCCCCCATTGGTCTCATATTCCCTCTGTGCGCTCTTCCTCCCCTCTTTCCTCTCTCCTCCGTCTGATCTTGCTCCTCCCTGCCCCACTTCTCTTCATATTTCTCTTCATGCTCCCTCAGCCTCTCATCCTCATTCCCCTTTTCCTTTTGTCTCCTCTCTTCCTTGTGTGAGCGTGTGTTTTTGGCCTTCGACCTTCATACTTGACCTCTTTCTTCCTGCCTCTATTCTCCTTCCCATCTCATCGCTCACCTTCCCCCTCAACCGTCTCCCTTTTCCCCTCCTCTGTCTATGAGACAATGGCTACCGCCAGTCGTCTCACTTGCAGTGTGCTGCAATGAGCCGCCACTTTTTGAGTTTTCCGAATAGAGTGCTGAGCTGTAAATTGGACTGAAATATGAGCTTCTGCATGTAACTATTTCAAATTTTCAACCAGGGTGTATCTTATACTGCACGCTCCAAGATTTCTCTAAATCTCTATGGCAAGCACTGGCGCAGACAACCGAGACAGGGCGAGAGTAAGAACCACCCAGTCGCTCGATTTGACCTGAGTCCGTCGTGAAATTAGTCCTCGCTTCTATTTTAAATAGTAGAAATCATTTTGCAGCAAGCTCGGGTCGGATAGAGCAGTCGGTCGACCCCAAGAGCTCTCTGCGACCTGGCCGTAGGGTAATCATGTTCGTATTTTTCACAGAAACAAAGCTACGCTTCGAAAATAACGCAATAGAGCGCACAACTAAAATACACTTTTGGTGATAATTTTAGCTAGCTACGTGTTCCAAATTAATTTACAGGCTACGACTCTCATGCCATTCTATACATGTTCGGGAGGTCTTTGGGTCGTCGCGTCACCAGCGTGAGTTTTCCACCTTTGATAACAATAACACCCCATGACCTCGCCCTCTTGTTATCTTTAGCATGCGTTCCAAAAGCTGGACATTCGAATGACCTTAACCTAAAAGCTATGAT